AGTAATTTGAATAGTGTTAAACGACTTCAAAGAGAATATGCTGCTTTCTTAAAATCACCACCACCAGACATGACTATTTATTTGATTGAATCATCTGTGCATGAATGTCATTTTAGTTTCAAAGGACAAAGTGAAACAGACTTTGCTGAAGGAATATATCATGGTAAATTTGTTTTCCCTTATGACTATCCAAAAAATCCACCTGAAGTATATTTCTTTACTCCAAATGGTAGATTTGCTATTAACACAAAAATATGTCTTTCTATTACTTCATTTCATCCAGAAACATGGACTCCTGTTTGGAGTATCTCTTCAATGCTTGAAGCAATTAGAGCATTTATGTTAACCCCTGCAGCAGGTGCTGTTGGTGGGTTAGAAACTTGTTCAGATATAAAAAAAGAATTTGCTATAAAATCACAATATTACACTTGTCCTATTTGTGGTGCAAATCACCAAGAATTAAAGAAAGTATTTATGCTAGAAAATGAAAGTAGTAAAAAAAATTCAACTGAAAGTGTTGAACATCAACCAAAAACTAGTACTTCTAAAGAAGTATCATCCAAATTGTCAGACTCTGATAAGATTGAACATAAATTAGAAAATATAGAAAAAGATAATGAAATAATCACCGAGAAAGATAATAACAATAATCAAAATCAAGAGATTATGAAAGAAGAAAGTAATGTAATAACTCCAAATGAAATAAATAGTGAAAGTAAGGAGGAATTACTTACAAAGTTAGAAGATGATGAAATTTCAAAAGATACAAAAGAAAAAGAAGAAGAAATTACTCAAGAAGATGATGTTTTAACAATTTTAAAAAAAAGACAAGAAGCAGAAAAAGAGAAAATAAAACATTTTCTTGAACATGAAGAAGAAACAAAAGAAGAAAATAAAAGAAATGAACAATATGCAGTGATTGATGAAACAATTAATATAATCCTCTACTTATCAATCTTTTTGGTAATTCTTATGGTATTAAATTTACTTAAAATAAAAATAATTATGTACTTTCTAAATTAAAGGAATTTTATTTAACTAATAGAAGGTTTTGTGTTTCTTATTTGTCAATTAACTTCTTTTTTATATCTAATTAAATAAACGAAAAGAATAGAAGATAACAGTAAAATTAAAACTTAAAATTATCAGTAATTTCTATCATAAATTAGATGATTAGTGATTGGACTTTCTCTTATAGAATTGGGTCTGATGAAAATACATATCAATATATGTCTTGTGTACCTGGAATATTAAGAAATAAAATACTTCTTGTTCCAAATAATAATAAACAAAATCAAACACTCTTTGAAATGATTGAACCAGATGTACTTTCTCAAACTTGTTGTATTTCTGTTAGTTCAATACTTGGAGTTCCATGTATAGGTAAAAATATGCGACTAACATATGAACGAACTTATCCATTCAAACTTACTATTACAGAAAAAGAAAAAGGATGTACAAGATGGCAATTAAAGAATGGAATTTTATATGCTTATTTGCAAGAAGAAAAAGGAATATATCCAAAAAAAGATGAAGAGCCTTTTGGTCAAGTTGGTCTTATCTGTATTAAAAATCAAAATTATTTTTGTATTAACACACCTTTATTATTTAGTAAAATGAATCTTTCTAAAGAAATAACATTAACTAGTCAACTCTTTGGTAAAGACTACTTTTATCTTTGTTTATTAAATGAAATACCAAATAAAGACGTCATTCCAGGAACTCCATTTTTTAGGGTTATACTTCATTGTAAAAAACAACGAAGAAGTGTTATTAGTGTTCAAAGAAATGAAAATTGTGAACCAATCATTAGATTATTAGGAACGTATGACTCTACAGCAAAATTAGTACATGGTAAATGGTATTTAGGAATATATGAAAATTCAATTGTTTGGGGAGATGAATCAGATTCAATTGTAATTAAACAAGACAAATATGGAAAATTAAATGTCTTAGAGAATGGAAAATGTATTGGGTATGTTGAGTTAGGAGAAAAGAGAGATGATGAATCATATTATTTAGTTTGTGAGAGAAAAGAAAATATTCAATTTGTTGCACTTACTGCAATCATGATCATCACTGATGAAAAGAGAGATGGATTTATTTTTACAGATGGATGTTGGTTAGATAATGAACAAAGATACAACATTTCTAAAGCACAAGAAACAGAAGAGGAATTTTTTAATAGTGAAGATATTGATCAAATAGATGAAGAATTAGATAAAGAAATTTGTATTACTGAAGATACTTCGTTTTCTAAAGATGATGGTGAGATAAAACTTCCTACAGAAGAAGAAATAGTGTGAAACATCATTAATCTATTCATAGTTTATAGTAAATTTATAATAAAAAATAATATTTTAAACTATCGTTATTTTACGTTCTTTCTTCATTTAAAACTAAGGAAGGTGAAATAAAATAAATAACAAAGAATTTTATTAATATTTTTTTTATTTTTAGAGACATAAAAAAATATAATACAAATATAGTAAAAATTACTTCATTTCTATTTAACTTATTAGAAAATAAAAAGAGAGAAAAACAAAAATGAAATAACCTTTTATAATTGATGTTTCCTCTTATTGATACCACAAACCAACATTATTCTCCATTTAATCAAAGAAAAACCCAATTCAATAAACAACCAATTAGATATACTCATTTCTCTCCAATAAGTTCAGAACATCAATACGAATCAATGTTAGAACCAAATCTTAATGATGTTGTTCAACCTCAAACATGTCATTTTAGACCTATTACAATGGATAGTCCACACCAATTGTCTATAAGTCAAAACACACAAATACAACTTCCTAATGAAGAAACTATGTCTTGTTGTATTTCTTCTAGACTTGGTTCTATACAACTTCCAGTTTTTAATCAAACTTATAATTATTCCAGTGAAATCGATCATGTAACAAATACATCTTCACAACAACATTCATTACCCTTTCAAGATCAGGAAATGTCAGAAATAAAAATAGAGAGACAAGACACTCCTAATTTAAACGAAACTTCCCTTCAACCAACATTGCCTTCTAAACTTTATACCACAAAACGTACTTCTATATCTCCAATGATTGAAAGAACATTATTTTCTCCAATTAATACTACAACATTTTCAACTAAACCAATTAGTACTTTGGGATGTCCTCGTCCATTTTCAGCAACAGGAGAGGTTGTACTCCAACCAATACACCGATCAATGTTTTCTCCAATCACCCTTCCAAACCAGAATGAAATATTGCATGGAAGTCGACCACAAAGTGTTCCAGGTAATTATAACCAAAGTGAACTTACTGTTCCAAAAGATTTAGACGTTAAACGATATACAAAATATGAAGGAAAGAATGAGTTTCAGTCATATGAAGAAGCAATGAAATTACTTACTGAATGGGCTGAAGGGTGTGGAGTAGTTTTACGTAAAGGTAGTGGTAATAATAAATCAATGAAAGATGGAACTAAGAAGAAAGTAGTTCTTGTGTGTCAATGTAGTGGAAAGTATCGTAGTTGTTCAGGATCTCCTACTGAAGAAGTTTGTTGTCAAACAAAAGGAATAAAGAAAAGAAGGTCAAAAAAGACTGAATGTCCATTTAGAATTAATTTAAATTATAGAACAAAAACAAGAACGTGGAATATTACTAAAATGATATTAGAACATAACCACATGTAATAGACTATAATTATTAGAAGTGATTGTTAAGTAAAATAGTTTTATTGTATTCTACTTTCTTATTTGTTTGTTTATTTGTTTTTTTTTT